CCTCCTTGATATATCAAGGAAGGCGTAGTATACTTAGCCATTGAAACCAGAGGGTTCAGTAAAGTGACTCGTCTCAGTACTTTAGAGTACTGAGGCTTCTGGGGCACTATGGTATAGTACTGTGCTAGTAAAAGTGCGCAATGCTGGTTTGTGGGTACTATAGTACTTTTGCTCGTTGTAGTACTTTCTGCTGGTATAGTACTTTTCGCTTGTTTAGTACTTTCTGCCAGCCTAGTACTTTCTGTTGCCGCAGTATTTTCTGCTGGTGTAGTACTTTCCACCCTCGTAGTACTTTCTGTTGGCGTAGTACTTTTCATCGGTGTAGTACTTTCCGCCCTTGTAGTACTCTCTGCTGGCATTGTACTTTCCGCCGGTGTAGTACTTTCCGCCCTCGTAGTACTTTCTGTTGGCATAGTACTTTCTGCCCTTGTAGTACTTTCTGCTGGCATCGTACTTTCCGCTGGTGTCGTACTTTCTGCCAGCATAGTACTTTCTGTCGACATAGTACTTTCTGCCAGCGTAGTACTTTCTGTCGGTGTAGTGCTTTTCGCTCATGTAGTACTTTTCGCTGGGGTAGTACTTTCTTGTCAGTGTAGTACTTTTGCTGGGATAGTACTTTCTTCTGGTGCAGTACTTTTTGCCAGTATAGTACTCTTGGTCGGTGTAGTACTTTTGGTCGGTGTAGTACTTTTGGTCGGTATAGTACTTTCTCCTAGCATAGTACTTTTCATGGACGCAGTACTTTGACTTCTAGATCTGGTCCAGACTCAATTAATCTCTGGATCTGTGCTTTGATTTTAGATCACTGATCTTGATCTAGGAATCTGGGCAATGTTACCGGGCTGTGTGGCAAAAGTATGTTCAATCTGGATGTGGCCCAACTTTCTGAGACCGGGATGGTGTCCTGGGGTGCTGGATAGGGGGTAGGAAAATGGGTAGGGGGTGGGGGTAGATGGGTAGCAGGCTGGTAGGGCGCTGTATACATGGATTGGGTGGGTTTTGGCTGGATTTTGGGTACTGGGGACAATACTGGGTGTGCTGGGGTAGTATTAGGTGCGATAAAAATCCGGGAAAATAGGGAAATAATAGTAGGGATGCTAGGGTAGGCCTAGCAGGTGCTGGTTT